GTAGATGAAAAAAAAACTAATTGCACAGTTAGGTGAGAAATCGCGAGACGAAACTTTCGAACCTAATTAGTCCATAATTAAACACTAATTGTCAAATACAAACGAAAGTGCTACAGTAGACAAAATCCAAAAAAATTTAGATCTAAACGCACCCTTAGACACTGGAACAGTCAACAAGCAGAGCCCTAGCGAATAGTCATGCGATGTGATGTGACCTGGCGTTTTACTCCGGCTGTGTTTAGTTCTCGGCCATGTTTAGTTCCCCATTTTCTAGAATTTGGCATTATGCAAAAAGAAGATTTCCCGTCACATCAAATTTACGGTATATGCATGGAGTACTAAATGTTGACGAAATCAAAAACTAATTGCACAGTTTGGTTGTACTTTATGAGACGAACGTTTTGAGCCTAATTAGTCAACGATTGAACAATTATTACCAAATAAAAACAAAACGCTACAGTACGCTACAGTGCCACCGAATTCAGCCGGCGCCGAATCCGGCCGGAACTAAACGCAGCCTCGGAAACTTTCTCAAAAAGTGCTATAACAGCTATTACATTGAATCTTACGATACGTGCATGGAGTATTAAATGTAGACGAAAAAACTAATTGTACAATTTTGTTGGAAATCGCGAGGCGAATATTTTGAGCCTAATTAGTCCATGATTGAACACTAATTACCAAATAAAGATAAAAGTACTACGGTAGCCAAATTCTCAAATTTCGCGAACTAAACTCAGCGATTTCATTGGCTGATTTGATTACTCTGAATCTGTCAGATTGCGACGGCTTGGACGAACGGAACACACGCCTGCTCTGCTAAGTCCAAGGCCATGTTTAGCTTGGAAGCGGCGTCCCCGAAATTACTGCGGATTACTGTAGCACACTGTCACTGTGTTCGGCTGGTACAGTGCACAGTGAATTTCGGATGGTTTTGGATGATTTAATAGTATTCTGTAAGAGAGAATAAGCTCAAAACAAGCTGGAAGTATACCAGCCGAACGCGGTGTGTAGCATTTCGTTTGTATTCGATAATGATTGTCCAATCGTTGACTAATTAAGCTCAAAATGTTCGTCTCGCAAAGTACAACCAAATTATGCAATTAGGTTTTTATTTCGTCAACATTTAATACTCCATGCATGTACCACAAGTTTGATGTAACTGAGTATCTTCTTTTTGCATAGTGCCAAAGTTTAGATTTTGGTGTAACTAAACATTTTGGCCCAAGCGATTTTTAGCGTGCTTGTGTCACCAGAGCAGACAGCTAGTGTCACCAGGTCAAACAAACACATGATGGATAACACAAACTGGCTTTACGGCAAATCTGCATGCGTGCTCCCGCTAGGCAAGAGATGGAGGCATGGAGCACATGTGTGTTGCTCCTCGTGCCATCCTTCTCCATGAATAGTGCTCCAACAATAGGGTGTGGCCTACTGATCCATTGGCGAGACAGAAATAATATACAAAAAAAAAAAGATGGTGATTGGATTGCATACATTCCGCGACAAGTTGCTCGGGAAAGGAGAGAATTTTCAGCGTATTTTCCAGAGACGGACCACACATGATTATTGACAAACATAGAGCAAAGCAACCAATATTCAAGTCAATTGGATGTACAACTCAGAATTACAGATGGCGCGCTATGATACGATCCGTCCACAATAAATTGTCTAACAAAAATAACATTTTATATCCACACCCGTGATTTTGCACATGCTGTACCCACTGCCGCACCCATCGGGTATGAAATCCGTGGGTTCTCGTACCTGCGAGTTGGAATGTAACTATAATAGATACAACCTTTGTATTTTAAGAACCAATGGCTGAAGCAACATACCTGTACTTGTACACACGTGTAGAAAGTTATACCTATAACTGTACCCATGGGTGAAATTTTGTACCTATACCCATCGGGTACAATACATGTGGCCAAGATTACATTCCACTCATCCGAATCGAATTATTAGACCCCGTTCGCTTCTGCTGTGATCCAGGAGAGAATGACTGTAAGCCATAGGAGCTATTAGTAGCCGGCCATGGAATAATCTTTGGTTGTTTGATTTGTATGCCCTGACAGTATATTGCCCATGGAGTAGCCGGCCATGAAATAATCTTTGCTTGTTTGATTTCTATTACCCGATATCGCTGTAGCGTTAGCACGGGCAATATACTCTTTGGTTGTTTAATTTTTATTATCTGATATCGCCGTAGCGTTAGCACGGACAATATACTAGCTAAGGAAAGTATAACAAACTACATTGAATGTTAAATCTACAACGTAGCGCTAGAAAAAACTACATTAAATGTTGGATGGTACCCAGGGTTCAAAATTTCTGCGAAATTTAGTAAATTTCGGCAATTTCGAGGGTGGCCTAAAGAAAATTCCAAAATTTTTACACTAATACATGTGTTTTATTGTAAATATATACGTCTAGGTTCATATTTTCTATTGTTTATATTGCATATTCTTCTACTCAATAGACATTAGTCATAAATCATGCTAATATTTTATCTATATCTAAAATTTTAGAAATTTATGCTTCATTTTTAAGTCTCTAAAAAATTTGATGAAATTTCGAGTTTGAATTTCGATAATTTCGGAGGTGTCCCAAAAAGTTCTAATACCAAAATTGAAAACCCTTGGTTTCACCCTGAGTAATTTGAACCGTGACAAAGTAACGAACCAAGTCGCGGACTCACGGTAACTTCAATGGAAATCCGATTATCATGACCAGGTGCATTTATCTGCTCCCATTAACTTGCCGGCTAATGCTTTTGCCATCCAATGGTTCAAAACGTGGTTCAGTTGGAGGGATGAATGTTTGGTTGAGGAACGAAGGGATGGAGCGGTTCTATTCTTACCGGTGTTTGGGTGAGGAACGAGCATTAGTACTTGATAGAAATTTTTGTTCTCGAGTCTATTTGGTTCATGACATACATGAGCCAAATCAAAATTTGGCAATGCCAAATCTAGGTAAGTCCCAATAAAGGGCAAAATTAGGAGCAACGCCAAAATTTAGAGAGCAAAAATACATTTGGACTGCTACCATATGAAATCCCATGAATATTGTTAGTGTGGCATGTGGGGTACAAATGTCACAATTATTTCGTATCAAAATATATCCAATATGGATCTTTGTTTTGTTGAAAAAAACATGATATTATGGCACCAATTATTTGGATATGGGATAAAAGTGATATTTTAGTTTAGAGTTGGTGAATCAAGAAACGTTGAGTTGCGTGCAACCAATGCCTACAGTCCTACCACATCATCCATATCACTGCATTCGGCCATGACAAATAGATCTGCCACAGCTTCGCTGTTTACTGTAGTTGGCATGCCAAAATTTGTTTGGTCATGGCAATTTCTAGCCTTCAACCAAATGGATGCAAAATTTTCTGGGCAGACCAAACTGTCTTGGGCACCAGCAGCAAACCAAAAATAGCCTGTGCGTGAAACATCAGTTAGCCTTTGTTGCGAGGACGTGGCAATGGATTAACTATTGATTTGGGGCCTATTTATATAAGTGAGAGTTCATGTATATCTATTCAAGTTTTGGTTTTTGCCAAAAAAAAACAGATAAGCTATAGATGACATGGCACCTAGTCGATTTTGTCATTTAGTTATGAATTTCATTGGATTATATGGTCTGTGTAGGAAAGACAGTTTCCAACCGGGATTAGAAGACGACCTTTAGTCCCGATTTAAGCTACAGACCGGGACTAAATATCTCTCTTAAAAAAGCCTGCTGCACTAGCCGTTGGGTAGGGGATTCTAGTCCCGATTGGTGGCTCCAACCGGGACTAATTCTCTTATTAGTCCCAGGCCCAATCCTAATCGGGACTAACGCCAAAAACTGAAAGTATGTTCTCTACTAGTGATCCCATCTTTGGTAATGCCACGTAGCAGAAAAGTGAGCTAGCGTGTTGAGCAGTCAATTCCACGCAAGTTTGGTGTTCCTCAACAAAATTTTCTTTAATTTATTCATGAGATAATAATTTAAACTTCATATTCATCATAAATTTTATCGGGCAAGAAGTTTCGTACTTATTGTTACCAACATGGTAATTGTTACTGATAGGGTCCAGCTGATTTAATGACCTTTGTGTTGTTAAGTTCATGGGCTCCAAAGATTTCCCTATATGTCTACAACACTATGGTGGCCTACACAATTTAGGTTCTAGTTGAAAACATACCCACCGAGTATTTACTAAAAGCAATAATTAAGAGTAAGACTTTTCGTGAACAACTTTGGACGCCCATGTAGGTTTACTGATGAACTCATATTAAGTTTCGTCTCGTATATGTGCACCTGATTTGAATGGCCATGGTCAAAGCATATGTGCCCATCACTTTCTCAAAAGAACATACCACAGATGCAAGTACTCAACTGCAAGTGCGTACTGTCACATCAATCTTATAAACACACACGCACACCCAAATGGGAACATTCAAGAGGTCGGGCTGGCACATCTTTGGATTGATGAAATAATATGCTATTGTCTATGTATTAACCAAGCATGTGTCTTTGATTATGATTTGATGTTTTCAAGTGTATATACGAAGAACACAGTTAAGAAATTTGACTTAGATAAATCTCAATCAATATATTGATTATTCCCGGTAAGTTGCACACGCCGGTATGAGAGCTTTGTTATCAAGTACATCTCATATGTAATCTAGAAGATGGCACCTCCAACGATGGGTTGCTGCCACGACAAGGTAGGGTTCATCAAAGATATCTGGTTGAATGGCAACAATTGTTGTTGCTGTAGGAAGGCGGTAGCCAATGGGTTAGCAACTGCCAGTGGGTTAACTGATAGTAGCGGTTGTTGTTGCAGGTATGCAGCGGTGTTTGCCACATGCAGTTGGTTGAATGGAAGCAGTTGTTGCTATTGCAAGTAGGCGGCAGGGTTCGCCACGGCTAGTTGACTGAGCGCTGGTAGGATTTTGTTGCAGCAGCTGTTGTTGTAGGTATGCAGCGGCATTGGCCGCAGCTCATGGGTTGGATGGAAGCAGCTGTTGTTGTTGCAGGTAGGAGGCAGGGTTCACCACGGCTAGTTGACTGAGCGCTGGCAGGAACTGTTGCAACTGTTGTTGTTGCTGGTATGCAGCAGCGTTCGCCACAACCAGTGGGTTGGATGCAAGCAGCTGCTGTTGCAAGTAGGCGGTAGGGTTCGCCGCAACTAGTTGACTGAGTGCTGGCAAGAACTGTTGTTGCTCTGCGATGGTCTGTATGGTTAGATGGGCTGAGGATTGCTGTTGCAATTGGGCAATTGGTTGTTGTAAGATGCTCGTTGCAAGCGCCTGTTGTAGTCTATAGGCCTGCTCAGCTGGGTTTTCAAACCCCATAGCAGTAATTGGTGGGAGGAACTGTGGAATAATAGCATTATGGGCAAGTGAGCACTGCGGAATAATGATCGCAGTTGTAGCGCTCACTAAAAGAGCAAGGAGGCAAATATCCTGGTAGCCATTGTTGCGAGGACGTTGCTAGTGAGTTTCACTTCGTATGTTTCTGATTGCTCTCAATGCTATGGGCGATGGATTAACTCCTGATTTGGAGCCTATTTATACAAGTGAGAGCTCATGTATATCTATTCAGATTTTGGCTTTTGCCAAAAAAATAGATAAGCTATAGATGACATGGCACCTAGTTGATTTTGTCATTTAATTCTGAATTTCATTGGATTATATGGTCTGTGTAGGAAAGACCGTTTCCACTACGTACAAGAAAAAAATGTTTATTTATGTTGGAATTCTTCTGATACACGAGGAATGACATGCATGATCACTTCACCTTTACACATGTTATAGCCTTAGCCACATCATAAATGTTCCACTTTATAAAAATGATGAGTATGTAAAGTTATGACTTGCTCGCGTGTATCAAAGGCTTTATCAACAAACTTTGTTGTAGTATTGTAGTCATGGTTAAAGCATGCACGGTAGTTAGGTGAGAAGTTATTTAGCAATGAATGAACAAATGCTACAATATCGAGACTAAATGAAATCCCAGTATGTACAGATGCATGCACACATAAATGATTTACAAAATTAGAATGCTTATAGCTAAACATGGCAATTGCCACACACTCCTGTGTTCTTAATTACAATTTACTTTAGTACGGTCTAAAACCATTCTTGTATAACTTAGACAAAGTTTTAAACTTTGGTGACAAAAAAGCACTGCCAATACATATGTCATAAATAATTCAACGAAACAACTTGATGTTTAAAATTTTGGACAGATTTTCTAGGAAGTATGTCAAAGTTAGGGAAAATTAACTTAGAGAAAAGCTAGAGCATGTAATAAACCATAGTGGAGGGAGAGGGAGTATATGTTGAACTCTAGCTCCTGATTCAAAAGATGTACATCTAGCTTTTACAAACGTCAAAGTTAACTTGTATCCATATAGAATGGAGAATGACAAATTTTAAGCAACTTTTGTTGCTTCCACAAGCTACGAGATGAATCTACCCTTCAATATACAGATGAAGAGGGCCATGGCCAACGTCCTGGTTGTCTGAAGCATTAGTTAGGGCTCAAAGGCATAGATCCATTCATCCATTCAAGAAGAAAGACAACATGATCATTAATGTAAACCTTCTTAAGCAATGCTGAAAAACTCAAGGTAAAAAGAGACTAAGATGGGGGTCATCATTAATTTTTCTATCAAAAACTACAAGATCCAAACTTGAAGTTCCACGACAACACACTCCTTCATATTCTTTTTTCCAACAATAATGTGCCATGGGTACACATATTTTATTCCTTTGAGTCTATTTGATGAGATTTTGGCTTTCCCTACACACGAATTGAATCTCGTCCCAAAAGAAAATCGAGAACATTGGGCTGATAGGCTTAGGCTTAACGCTGGGACCGGTCACCTATTTTGGACTAAGGAAATCCAATATGGCTAAAAATATTTAAAAAGAACGCGGGGAAATTCATGAGTCCATATAATTTGTGTCATGGTGCTCATATAGATGTGATAAGATATTTCTTCTGTTTTCATATGATATGTGAGTGCAGACTACATTGGTTCTAGTGTTATGAGCTATGCCTAGTAAACCGTCATGTTCGTATTAAACTTCTTAATTATTGTTTTAGATTTAACATTTCAGAACATGCCCTTTGTCACATGCTAAATTTGTTTGGTCATGCCAATTTCTAGCCTTCAACCAAATGGATAAAAATTTTCTGGGCAGACCAAACTGTCTTGGCCAGCAGCAGAAAACCAAAAATAGCCTGCGTGTGAAAGGCACCGGATATGGCCACCACCACCGCAGTAATTCACAGACCACTGGAAATTGCAGATTGCAAAACCAGTCAACGCGTCACGAACTGGCTGGAAGAAACTGAAGTCAAATTCGTAAAAAGAAGTATACATTCTTTCTGGCAGTACAAAGTTCTCAATGCTACTTAAATCACTGAACTGGCCGGGCTGCCAATTAGTCTAACATGAACTGCCCTTGTGGAGTTGACAGAGCATGGGGACAAACATGGCAACACACACTAGCAGGCTGATAGGCCCACATCAAAATGTCCATGTTTCATACAACGACCGTGATTGTTGATGGGAAATCAAGAACTCAGAAGTGTTTTACAGCCTCGCGATGACAGCTTCGACCTCAGCAGGGGTGTAGAGGTGGTACTTGGGGGCAACCTTGGCGATATCGACATTGTTTGGGGTCACCTGTTTAGAACAAGACGATAAGTTCACATTTAGATGAATGGTTCAACAGAGCTGAGCGATGGAATATGGAGTAGTTTGACATGCCATACCTTCTCTTCCATAACCTGCTTCAGGATAGAAAGGGCTATGGTCTCCGCCTCCTGGAGGGTTAGTTCCTGCAATATCAGCAAGGCATTACTCTCGATTTTCTTCCACATGAGTAACAGCCAACACTATTTTTTATGGATCTGTTCTATGACATTGCAGTATGCATGCACTTCTACATTTTTTTTGACAGCCATAAAGGAGGACTATTATCCTCCCATTTTTACATCCTTGTGGAGCAAATTCTTGTGATGTCATTCTGTGTGAGTAGCATATTCAAAGATTCTAAGCGGCATTGAAATTAATCTACTGCTCTAGGACATTTTTTCCCCCTGTATTGAGTTTACAAGACATAATGTGCTTTGGTAGATAATTCCTTATAACTAGGGTTCACAGGCAGCACCTCTCTTTGGAACTGTACGATTTGTTGATTAGCTTAGCATTTATCTTGAACCATACCTTGTTGTACTGCTCCTGCAAGGAGCTATCAACTCCTTCAGAACCTGATCCAATTGCCTTTGCATTGCATTGCCAGAAGGTTCCAGATGGGTCCGTGTAGTATCTGCAGCACACATATGGTGAACCATGAGAAATAAAGTCCAGTGGCCTTGTGTAAATTGATTATGACAAAAAGATCTGCCTCACAACATAGAGAGATAAGGATGCCATGATTGCAAAATGAGCAACATATACGGAGGGGCCTGCTATAAGTGCCTGGTCTCCACTATATTCCACTAACTAAAATATATGCCTCAGCCAACATGTATACCGAATAAACTTATGTCTGGGAATTGGCTAAACTTCCAGTGGTAAATGAAGAAAATCCCCCCTAGACTTATTGGGAAGCATGGAAAGAATACCCTTCTACTAAAAAACTATACACATATGGATCAAATCATGAAATATAAAGCATGAGCACATAAAACCCCAACGAAAATTATTACTTAGGCTCAAAGTTGACCTTTTTATATATCACTTATGCTTGTTATAAGTAAGGACCTTGTCCACATATGTACAGAATGGAAAGGTAGCTCAACTATAAAAGCGAATAACTTAGTTCAATGCATGATATAGATAACCATTGGAACAATCTTGGTCACAAGTTCCATGCCTTCCTGTTTTTCCTTATTTTACAGGAATTTTACTTTAATTTCTGTCAAGGACACATAATGACCTAAGTAGAACAAAACCACCTAGTAGACAACCATAGTTCATGTGAGTCAAACAAATGGTAAGCCCACACTCTGCAGCAAAGAGACATCCACTAAAAAAAGCGTTTACCATGACGATCTAAAAAGATCCAACAAAAAGCAAATGTGATGCATGATATGATGATAGTAAAATAATTTTACAGAAGAAAACAGAAGTAAAGCAACCTACATTACCATGACAGCCTAAAGTCTAAAAAAAGGCAACAAAAAAGCAATTTCAATGCGTTATAGCACAATGATTTAGCATAAGAAAAAGAAGTAAATCTCCCCAGTTTAAGAAAAACATGGATTCTGAAGACTGCAATTAAAGAAAATCCAGTTCAGTGAGCTAAATGGATCAGCACTTACAAGCTAGGTCCATTCTCATCATGTCCAGCAATTAGGAGGGAGACTCCAAATGGCCGTGACTGCACAAACAAATAAGTACATCAGAACGCCCACTACACGATACATGAAGTGATTACAACTTAGCACACCCCTCGACAAGCTATTGGGATGGAAATATAAAAGTAGATGTGTGTTGCAGGAAACTGTGGCTGTATAAAGGCTGTGAAAACTAAAAACTAGTAGTGGGTTGGCCCTATCAAAATGGTTGGCAAATGGGGAAAGTTTTCGGTTTGTAACTCTAATGAACCTCAACAAAAACAATTCATAGGTCCATCTTCACCATTAGGCCCTGATAAGATAATATTTACACATGAAAGAGCCAATGCAGGCAAGATAGGTATATAACAAATACTCATCATTTCATAAAAGGTCATTAGTGTTTGTTATCTCTTTTCATATTCATTATGGGAGTAATAGGGCTGACCAGTTATAAGAACACCTAAATGTTATAAAAAGGGCAGACCCAGTGTCGGAGGCTCTCACATGAGTGGGGTCTGGGGAAGGGAAAAACCGAGGCAAGCCTTCCCCCCGCAAATCTGCGGAGAGGCTGCTTCGAACCCACGACCTGGTGACTCAGTGAGATAGCTCTCACCACTGCACCAGGCCTGCCCTTCAACACCTAAATGTTGTACTGGATTCAATTTCCTCCAGTTAGAACATTTGAAAAATAAAGATATTGGTGTAAATCCATCTTATATTTTGAAGTTGAAGGAATGAAATATAGTCTGTAGATAATTAATCTTGCTTCTTGAGTTCCGGAGGCTATAGGAACATAAATGAGGCTAACCATTGACTCTTCATCACCTTCACCAAAGCGCAGAGCCAAGTCACAGATAGCTTGTGTAGAAGATTCTACGGTCATTGGCTCCCCATATGAGAACCTATGATTCTGATTGTAAACATGTCAAGTCAGATTAACAGAGAAACCTCCCAAACATGTAAATAAATATGTATATGTATATAACCCAGGAAAGTACCTGAGTCTCAACACGAGCATGCTCCACTAGCGTTCTAGCATCAGCAATAAGTCCACTCATGGCACAGCCTATGTGCTCATCAATTTCCATGATTTTCTCCACACTGCTTGGTTCCTATAACATCAAAAGGCAAAGGAAAACTGAATTCATTAATAATTTAAACATGAAACAACCTATAGCATGAAAACCAGAGGCTAAGTGGAGCTGCCATTTCCTCTGATAAAAACCATTCCTGTTATCATAGCACAAAATTGCATAAAGTTGAGCTCAAACTCTCTTATTGCATCAGCTTGTAGGTTAAAATATTGCCAAAAAATGCAGTAGAATGAGGGGCACACAACTTTGTGAAAGAGGAGCTAACCTAAAGACCATAAACCTTGTATAAGAAATCACAATAATTCAATCATAAACGTTTGGTCAGCAAGCAATGTTCCATTGTTCCAAATTTAACATCCCAATCTTTGCCACCATACAATCAAGCCCTAGTACCAGCTAGGGGGAATGAAAAAGTAACTCAGTAAGTACCAGCAGTGGAGAGGTCACACGTTTCTCAACAGCAAGGACAACACCATCCTTTGTCTTCAACCCAATCGCAGTGGATCCCAACTGCAAGAGCAAAGGGAACAGCAACATGAGCATCACTTTGTCACACAAAACCCACATAAATCTCACAAGTAAAGGCCTGGCAAATTGCACAAAATTCAGTACAGCGTGTGTACTTGAGTGCAAGTGCTTGTCCTTGAGCTACTTTTTCTGGTTAGTAATTGCACAAATTGCACAAGATATTGAGGAAAATAGAGCATGCCATCACATGTCAAGCTGAAACTGACACAGTAATAAACTGACTAGACACAGAACCACAAACCTTCCACAATCCCAAACCTCAACTAGTAAGATCGAGTGAGCCATACTCCTGACTTCATCCTATAACACCCTCAACTCAGAAATCCCAGCAATTCTGTAAATCCTAAAACCCCCCAATTGCGCCCTTTCAGATTTGCGCTCACGCAACAACAGCTAACCCCACAAATCTAGCCTCGTCGTCACAAAAGTCCCCACCAGCCCGCACAGGCACCCGGCATCTCGGCGTCCCCACTGTGTTCAGATTCGATCCGATACAGCACGTCGCCCTTCCGATAGAACGCTACGAAGGGAGGCAGCAACGAGAGAGGGGAACTCACCTTGATGGCCTCGATGGCGTACTCGACCTGGAACAGCCGCCCCTCCGGCGAGAAGGTGTTCACCCCGCGGTCGTACTCCGTCCTGCAAAGACCCCCAAACACAAAATGCAAACGCGTCAGCAACTCAGCACACGACGCGCCGCCGCCGGCAGACTGAATCCAGAGGGTTTAAAGGATAGAGGGATTTGAAACCGGCCAGTCACCTCGTGAGAAACATCCTCTCGGTCGGCGACTCCAGTGACGGCGGATGCTGGATCGAGCGGGACCTCGGAGCCTCTCTTCTACTTGCCGAGGAAGTTGAAGCGAAGAACACAGGCGACGGCGGTGCGGGCAGGCCGTGGTTCGTCATGTATATGGTCCGCCCACGCAGGACCGGACGCCTCCCAGCCTCTGGGCTTCGTTTCTCAGCATGGTAACACGGTCCAGCCCAAGGTCATCTTACTGTGCTCAAGCAAACATTGGACGGAGGCCCATATGAGGTCCAGTAAATCCTCGAAGCCTGTGGCCCTCTGCCTTGCCGCCCTCCATTTCTCTTCGAACAAACAAACAGAACAAACAAACTGGATCAAGAGAGCTTGATAAGATCTGGAGGGTAATGAGCTTGTAGATTCCATGATCTTACTTTTCCTGCAGAATTTATACTAGTTACAGTGATTTAGAGTTCTGTTATGACCTATGACATACCTGCAACAGGTGGGATAGAAACAGGATCTATCACAGAGATATATGGTGAGTTCCGCTCTGGAAAGACTCAATTGTGTCACACCCTTTGTGTTACATGTCAAGTGAGATTTTGTCTATCAACCCCTTCTTGGCTTTTCCCATTTTGTTTTATTGGTGTAAAATATGTAAACAATTTACATTGCAACTTCCATTGGACCAAGGTGGTGGTGAAGAAAAGGCTCTGTACATTGATGCAGAGGGTACGTTCAGACCACAAAGGCTCCTGCAGATAGCTGACAGGTGATACCTTAGCTGCAGTTTTTTTTTTAATTATTATAACATAAATTTGATCGCTAAACATGCTCATACTGGAATCTAGGTTTGGGCTGAACGGTGCTGATGTGCTGGAGAATGTGGCTTATGCCAGAGCTTATAACACAGATCATCAATCCAGACTTCTGCTGGAGGCAGCTTCCATGATGATAGAGACAAGGCAAGTCCAACTTATTGCTTTGAGTCTACATGTGAACTATATGTTACTTTGAGCACATAAGCATGCTGTACTTTCTATCAGTTGTGCACTAGGTAAATAAATTGAAATTGATTTGGTTATCTTTTGCTTATGAATCAAAAGGATCATGCCTTAGTTAAAGTACTGATCCTTTGGACCCACATAACAGTTCCATGTGACATTAAAATACAAATGCAACTCTCATATTGAACTGGACTTCACTACTATTTACAACATTAGTATTGTCCGTTTTCACTCTGTGGAATATCCCAAATTTATTCATGACATGTTGCGTTTCATATGAGCTAACTAGCTAAAACATAAAATGGTTAATCAGCTGAGGTATGTTTATCATATCAAACCTTGCATTACGTACAGCTAATTAATTGTATGCCCTGGTTTGTCTGTAGGGATATACCAATGCAGTGTTTGCTACTTAGTCTAACATGAATACATGATGTGCTGCTTCACGATCACATCACATTAGGAAATGCAGAATCCAGCTAAATTTGTCACTGCAACTGCTTATTCTGCCAATGTCTGTGTTCTTTGATTATCAGTATATATTTGTTATGAAGACTAGTGATTATGGAGGTAGCTTGGTCAGAATTTCTAATCTGAATATCTACATTTGCAGGTTTGCTCTAATGGTTGTTGACAGTGCCACAGCTCTGTACAGAACTGATTTCTCAGGAAGAGGAGAGCTATCAGCTAGGCAAATGCACATGGCTAAGTTCCTGAGAAGCCTTCAGAAGTTAGCAGATGAGGTTGGTATAAAGTTGTTATTATTATTTTTTTGTCTTCAAGAACACCAAGTCTTCTCTTTATGGTTTTTGTCTTAGCTTTCAGTCAAATGAAAATGCTGTTGACACTGGATATCCCTTCATGATTTTTTGCTTTTCTTAATTTGATTTGATTGATCATGGCAGTTTGGAGTTGCTGTGGTTATCACCAATCAAGTAGTAGCACAAGTGGATGGCTCTGCTATGTTTGCCGGACCACAGATCAAGCCCATTGGTGGTAACATCATGGCTCATGCTTCCACAACAAGGTACATTATGCCAGCTATCATGAACTAACTGGTTTTCTCCAAGACCCAGGTTCTATTCTGTTCCTATCCATATCTTTTCTTAAAATGTCTGATACTGTCTCCAACACTCTATCAGGCTTGCTCTTCGCAAGGGAAGAGGGGAGGAGCGGATTTGTAAAGTAATAAGCTCTCCCTGCCTGGCTGAAGCAGAAGCGAGGTTTCAGATAGCTTCTGAAGGCGTCGCAGATGTCAAGGATTGAGGCCATCTTATCTCTGCTTACAGCGCACAGTGGCTTCGTCTCTAATGCTGGTCTGCTGTCTGCTTTGTCATTCCTTGGGTCCACTGCTGTGTTGCCCCATCTTGATGTACAGAAACACTTGCCTTCACAGATGCGATTGCACCTGTGACTGTGATCCGAGCATCCTGTTGTAAAAAGAAGCCATGCCTGTTCCCCTGTTGTATGTTGCATGAGACCTGAGTACCTGACAACTGCAAGAAATATTGATACAAGTATAGTTATGATGTACCAAATATCAGTTCAGTTCCCTTTTTTGCGTTGTATTGTTCAATTATCACGGCAATTACTGGATGTGCAGTGCAGATAAGAATTCACAGAGCAGCAATGACCGATCTCAGAAATAGTATAATGCCTATGCTAACGCTACGGATAAATCAAATAACTAAAATATTTGTAAGAAGATATTTGTTTGCCAATCACCAAGATCTAAACTTGGTAAGAAAATATCTGTTTCACATGTTTGGCATCATATGCTTGGAAGAATTGCAAACAATATAATAACTTGAGAAAAGAACTTAATTTCAATACCTACAACTACAGCAGATCAATACCTATTATTCTCCATGTGCCTCAAAGGGAGAGGCACAAAAAGAACTTAATAATGCATGGCATTTGCACATCCGTGAAAAAAGTGATTGAAGTAAAAAGACATTCCCTAAAATGTAGCTAGACTTTAAATTTAGTAATCCATCCAAGAAAGGAAGAATATTCCTTATGTCCATTTGTTCAAAATTAACAAAAACCAAGCTCTAATATGAAGCATAACTGGGTGCAGCTATACCTGAACCTTTTAGATCCTATTTTTACTAATCAAAGAGTGAGAGTGAGCTGTTGAAGGACATGCAAAAGTGCCTAGCAAGAATGAAAACCAGTATACTACTATATTTGTATCTCTTGTTAATCTAGATGGATAAAATTTGTCATATTTATATCAAAAGAAAGATAAACAGGTGCTAGAGGGGGGGGGGGAGCATCTCACCTAGGAGTTATTTAGCTATTCCTGAAGTTCAGTTCAGCACGTCAGTATGTTGTGGTGATCTATGGCCTTGATGTGAAGCACACCTCCCTGATTATGACAAGGACAAGGAACACTTGCTGCAAATGTACAAATCTAAATTAGAAGGGTGCAAAAAAGATGGACATGAATGGCCAGCATGCATGGTGGTATCCACACATGTCACTTCTTCCTTCAGTCCTTTCATCCTTTGTAACAATGAGCAAGTCCAACACAAAAGTATACCTGAAGCCGCCGTGCGTCCAGGCCCTGGCGTCGTCGATGTCGCAGCGGAGAGGAGGTGGGAGAGGGAGGCGCGGCCGGCAGGGGAGCCTGCTCTGGACGCGGCCGCCACCGGCCGAAACCTGTCACACCCCTGGCCGCCGGCGAGTCGCGGTAGACGTGAGCCATCGAGACGGATACGCAGATACGAAGAAGCGGGCAGGGTTAACCCTCTGCCTTGGCTTTCTGATATTAGAGTTCACGGTTGTTCTCTCCCCGGTACAGGGTTCAGCACTTATGTACTCGATATAGTCTATGACCACATGGTCCCACACGACAGTTCACAAAAGAAAACGTAATACATAAATACGCTAAGCCACACGGAATACTTCTTCTCCTAAGGCTTCTTCCTTCAGCGTTCTTCACTGGTCGTGGCCACACCAGCCGGTGTGACACCTCCCTCCGCCTGAGTTCCAGCTTGCCCCCAAGCTGGTGCAGTCGGGAAACGTTGCTTAACAACATTGTAGTCTTCCCATGTTGTTGCACTGGCTGGTAATCCCACCCACGTCAGCTTCACCTGCGGTATGGCAGTGTTGCCCTTCTTGACAAGGCGACGGTCCACGATTGCTTCCGGCACCGTGTCAGCGGCCTCCAGATCAGTGATGACTGGTAACGAATTGTACACCGGAGTATAATCTGCAGAGAAGGGTTTTAACTGGGAAATGTGAAAGACGGGGTGAATCAGAGAGTCCTTAAGTAGCTGCAAACGATAAGCCACTGATCCCACTCTTTCGAGTACTGTGTAAGGGCCAAAGTACTTGAAAGCCAACTTGGGGTAAGGCCTGCTGGCCACAGTTGATTGAGTATAAGGTTGAAGTTTGAGCAATACTTGATCTCCCACAGAGAAAGTGAAATCCTTACGTTTCTTGTCGACTAAGAGCTTCATTCGGTTTTGTGCTCTTGCCAGATTTTGCTTTAGAGATTGCAGGTGTTGTTCTTGGTGCTCAATGACTTCTGCGACTGAAGGAGATGTGTCTGATGGTATAGATGGTATGGCACCCAAGTTAGGCTCATAACCATATAATGCTTTGAATGGAGAGCAACCGAGAGCAGTGTGTGTAGAAGAATTATACCATAGCTCAGCTAATGGTAACCATGATTTCCAAGACTGAGGTGAATTGTGGACAGCACACCTGAGATACATCTCCAAGCACTGATTCACTCTCTCTGACTGTCCATCGGTTTGAGGATGGTAAGCTGTGCTTAACTGCAAATTCACTCTATACAACTTGAACAGTTCCTTCCAGAAATGACTGACAAAGATAGTATCTCGATCTGTGACAATAGAAGCTGGCAGTCCATGTAGCTTAACCACACAGTATCAAGAAAGGTTTGAGCAACCGTTAGAGCAGTATAAGGATGTCTGATGGGTAAGAAGTGAGAATATTTAGTCAACCTGTCCACCATTACCAAAACCACACTGTATCCTTCGGACTTAGGAAGGCCCTCAATGAAATCCATAGTTAGATCTTGCCATACTCCTGCTGGTATTGGCAGTGGTTGCAGCAGACCCATTGGGTGTTGAAGAGAATGTTTGGCATGCTGACAGATACTGCACTGTTTAACAAAATTTTCCACATCCATTTTCATCCCTTTCCATGCAAAGTGTTTCTTCATTCTGGAATAGGGGGGCTGCAATACCAAAATGACCTCCCAGAGCACTAGAGTGGCAGACAACAATGATTTTGGTTTGCAAAGCAGAATTCTGTCCAATGCAAATCTTACCGTGGTGCCATATAAGACCTTGGTGGAGACTGTATCCTTGTTGATCTGGACTGACTATAGACAGCCTCTGCAAGATTTGTTGTGCTTGAGAGTCCGTTATGTAAGAGTTGAGTACCTCTTGTATCTAGGTAGGTTGAACACAAGAAACTACCTGGACAGCCATCATGTGACCGACCCTCGATAAAGCATCAGCTGCTACATTCTCTTTCCCTTTCCTATATATGATCTTGAAGTGCAACCCCATAAGTCTGGCCATTGCCTTTCTCTGCATGTCTAAATGCAAGTTTTGTTCATTGAGATATGCCAGAGACTTATGGTCAGTTTGGATGATAAATTCGTTTCTTTGTAGATAATGCCTCCATCTTTCAACTGCCATGATCAATGCTAAGAATTCCTTTTCATAGATGAACAGTGTTTTGTGTTTCTCCCCAAGAGCTTTGCTGAGAAAGGCTATGGGCTGACCTTTTTGCATCAACACTGCACCTATGCCATCTTGACATGCATCAGTCTCGACAATGAAGGTTTCCTGGAAGTCTGGCAGGGCAAGAACTGGAGTTGTTGTCATAGCTATCTTTAAGTTGTCAAAAGCAGCTTGAGCTGAAGGAGTCCACAAGAAATGTTTGAGTCTTAAGATATCTGTCAAGGGTTTAGTGATTTGACCATAATGTTTTATAAATTTTCTGTAATAACCAGTCAACCCCAAAAAGGCCCTCAAGTCAGTCATTGTAGCATGCACTGGCCAATGAAGCATTGCCTTGATCTTGTCTGGGGCAGTGGACACACCCTGTGCAAATATGATATGGCCTAAGTACTCTAGGCTGGACTAGGCAAAAGTGCACTTAGATTCCTTGAGATACAGCTGGTGGTGCCTTAAAGTGTCCAAGCCCTGCTGTAGATGTTGCTGATGGTCCTCCAATGTTTTGCTATAAATGAGTATGTCATCTAGAAATACTAGAACAAATTTTCTGAGATAAGGTTGGAGAATCTGATTCATTACACATTGAAAAGTGGTTGGAGCATTAGTCAAACCGAAGGGCATGACTTTGAATTGATAATGCCCGTGATGAGTTTTAAAAGCTGTTTTGTACTCATCTTCAGGTAGCATCCTTACTTGATGATAACCTGATCTTAGATCCAACTTGGTGAAGTATTGGGCACCTGCCAACTCATCCAAAATTTCTTCAATCACAGGCATTGGAAATCTGTTCTTAATAGTGAGGTCATTCAACTTTCTGTAATCCACACAGAATCTCCAAGAGCCATCTTTTTTTTATTAAGAGAACTGGTGAAGCAAAAGGACTGTGACTGTGAGTAATGAGTCCTGCTTGCAGTAACTGCTGAACTTGATTCTCTATTTCAGTCTTATGCATAGGTGAATAATGGTATGGCCTAGAGTTGATTGGGACTGCCCCTGGTAACAGGGGAATGGCATGATCATAAGTACGCTGCGGTGGTAAGACCTTAGGATCATGAAAGACATCACTGTAGGAGTGTAGCAGCTTTGTGATCTCTGTTGGTTGAGTTGTGACTGCTGTAAGTGATAGAGATGGTGGTGGTGCCTGATCTAACAGCACAAATGCCCAGACATCATTGCCTTTGGTAGCATTGTAGGTCTTCTGTGCTGATATAGCCGACAATTGCAAAGGTGGATCTTGCAACCCGTGAAGTTGGATGATTCTCCCTTTCTCTGAAAAACTGATTGTTTTGTTTTTCCAGTCACATTCCATAGGACTGTGAGCCTGTAGCCAATCAAATCCTAGGATGGCATCATATGGGTCCATGTCCAATACCACCATATTAACTGCAAATGTTTGGCCTTGATAGTAACACTGCAGATTAGGTACTACCCTATCAGTAACAATCTAGTTGCCATTTGCTACCTTGACTTTCTTTGGTGTTATAGGGATAGTTTGGAGGTTTGCTAACTGTACAAACTGAGAACTGATGAAACTGTGGGTAC